ATGAAATTGTTGATTTGATTGCGAAGAAATATTTCAAGCTTAATAAATGTGATATGAATTCATTCATGACTATTTCCAAATGATCCAGTCTTAAAAGCTGCGTGTTACTGCCAAGTGTGACGGGGGTCCATATGACAAGATTTCCATTTCGGGTTTAAAATGATCAGAAAAACTGTTTTCACATGAATTGAATTTCACAGTCAAACATGATTGGAACTGAGCTAGAACTGGAAAACTGAAATTGAAAGTAAAGACTGCATATACCAGGAGAAGATATTATTTAAAGCGGGGGCATACAGTACTGATTTGAGGATCTCTAAAAGGATTGAGGTTTAACGTTTGGCAGAGAGAACCCCCCCCCAACAAACAAACAAAATCTAAACTAGTGACTCACTCGTACCAACCCCCCTCCTCTGCTCTGTCATGTGCCAGCTCACCTTGTCATCCTGTGCGTCCGACTGGAAGAGGCTGTGCTGCTGGATGGCCATGGGTGGAGGAAGTGGCACAGTATCAGCTCCTTCCTCTCCCTCTTCCTCTCCACAGCTCTGCATTCCTGACGACGATGATTTGGAGAGAGTCCCGCTGCTCAGACCCTCGTTACGCACCCTCTGTGGAGGTTCAGGGACAAAACCATAAATTAGGCTATATATTCAAAAAGCCAGTAAGATCAGCTTTGAAAAAGTATGAATAACATTCAAACCTCTTCCAGAGTCTCATCCTGTGGCGTGGCTGCGCTGTCGTCAGAGTCTTTCTGCGAACCTGCGTCTGCGCTCTTTCTGACGTCACGGCTCTTCTTGTGTTTGTGCGCCAGCTTCTTCACGTGGCCGTCGGCTTTACCACTGCTGAGTCTCCTCACAGGGCTGGTCAGCCATTTCCTTAATGTGTTGCCAGTGCGTTTTGGCCCAGGGGAACTCTGGGAGCCCATCACATGACCTGGCTGCAGGGTGGCAGAGGAGCCTGGCAAGATGGCATCGTTACTGCACACAGAAAGCGCGTCTGGAAAAATACAGAAAAGCTTGTGATTATTATCTGACACAGGTCTGTGTGGATTATTAGGAAGCGTTTCGGACATTTGCCCACCTTTGTGGTTAAAGATGCCCTCCATCTCCATGCTGCTGCGGGAGTGGGCGATACAGAGCATGGCACAGGGAACCAGGCCTTCCAGGGCAGGGGAACGGTCAGTGGTCCGCACCAAGCACCAGTCGGGCTTATCATGGAGCCTCTCTAGTACCTCTACCGTCTGTCCCCTTCGCACTGTCAGTTCATTACTGTTACCGGCCATGAAGTCATGGATGACCACTGTGAGCTCACAACCACCTGACAACTGAAGAAAAAAAAAAAAAAGGGGGGCAAGCACAGAGCCATGTTTTTAGTTATAGTGATTGTCTTAAGACCAAAATGCCCTTTGAATTTTGTGATTTTTTTGCCATGTCATATTCATTAATTTTAGTAGATTTTACTATGCCTGAAATGTCATACAAGATCAGTAAAAAAAAAAAA